GGGCAGACTGAAGAAAATGTGTTCTTTAACCAGCCTTTCAAAGCACTTTATCATGATATGAGTAAGTGCGACAGGCTGGTAATCATTGAATGAGGTGACCTGAGGCTTCTTTGGGACCGGTGGCAGACTTAAAGCATGCTGGCACTATGGATTGGTCCAGCGAGGACCTTCTTTCTTAGTGGGAAGATGCTGCATATCTTTTATATATCTGCAGTAAAGAGTGCAAACTGTTCGGCCATCATCAACAACCCAGGCGGCAGACCAGGAAGCAGAAACGTAGTTTAACACGTCTCTGCAGCTTCTCCACTGTTACCTACTCTTTAAACTATCCAGACAGTGTCTTACCCATGACCAAAATCTAATCAATCAGAAAAGATTCCTAAAGGAGTAAATCATGATAATCTAATTAAAATTAAAATAACTCCGATTGGGGAAAAAGTTAAAACGATTAAATATGGTTTATTTAACATATTTCTTCAAAAAATCTGGTAGTTAATTACTACCTGACAGGGACATCATAGTGGGAGATTTTAACATCCATGCTGACATTGAAGGCGAAAGCTTAAGAGCAGCCTTTGATGCTATCTTAGACACTATTGGCTTTGTTCAGAATGTGAATATTCCCACGCATTCTCATCTTCACACTTTGGACCTTGTGCTGACATACGGCACAGAATGTGAAGAAATAACAGTATTTCCTTACAACCCTGTCCTCTCTGAAAACATTTTAATAACCTTCAGGACGACTTTATCAGAGTTCTCCTCCCCCAAAAGAAGGTTTCACTTTAGCAGATCATTATCAGATAGTGCAGATATACATTTTAAAGAATCTTTTTCACTTTCTCTCTACTCTGTGTTGCTAGGCAGTGCTGCAGAGGGCAAAAGCTTAGTTAATTCCCCTTCACAAGTTGATGATTTTGTTGAAGGGGTTGCTAGTTCTATGCGTACTGCCTTAGACCACATAGCCTCTTTGAAAATGAAAAACATAAAAAATAGAAAGCTGGCTCCTTGGTTTAATGCAGAGCTACGCACTCTGAAGCAAAATGCTAGGCACTGGAGAGAAAATCTGAGTCCACAGGCCTAGGGTAATCCTACGTAGTCTGGAAAAATAGTTTACTGCTATATAAGAGGAACCTTTGTAAAGCAAGAGCACCATATTTCTCCTCATTAATAGAGGAGAATATGAATAATCCTAGATTTCTTTTTAATACAGTTGCCAAACTCACCCACAGCCATAGCTTAGTTGAACCACCCATTCCATCTGCTCTTAGAAGTAATGATTTAATGGAATTCATTATAAATAGGATTGATCTTATCAAAAAATAAGATCATTAGCACTCCTCTAACTATGATTGGTTTATCTGTAGAAGGTGAGGCAACATCTGAGGTAGCCATAGAATCTGAACCCGGTCTAGACTGCTCTTCATCTAAGCCTTCATCTTGTATGTTAGATCCAGTTCCAACCACGTTATTTAAGGAAGAACTCCCTTTGATCTTGTTCTCCATTTTAGATGTGATTAATCTATCCTTGTTACAGGGATATGTACCTAAGGCTTTAAAGGATGCTGTAATTAAACCTTTGCTTAAGAAACCGTCTCTTGACCCAGATGACTTGGTCAATTATAGAGCTATATCCAATCTGCCTTTATCTAACATTCTTGAGAAAGTAGTTGCCAAACAAGTGTGCAACCACTTAACACAATAATTAACTTTTTGGAGGGTTTAAGTCTGGCTTTAGAGCTCATCATAGCACTGAAACAGCTCTGGTGAAAGTCAAAAAATCTTACTGATGCTCAAAGGTTACCTGTGGAGTACCACAGGGATCAGTGCTAGGACCAATTGTCTTTACTATATATATGCTCCCAATCGGATTAATTATTAGACAGCATGGGATTAATTTCTACTGTTATGCTGATGATACTCTGCTATATCTGTATATTAATCCAGATTAAGCTAACCCTTTACATAGATTACAGGCAAATCTTGAAGACATCAAAACCTGGATGACTCTTAACTTTCTCTTTCTGAATGCAGACAAAACAGAAGTTATAGTCTTTGGACCAGAGTCTCTGAAAAAGAAGCTGATTGGTCAGTCACTTCATTTGGATGGGATTAAACTGATTTCAGATAATAAAGTAAAACATCTTGGTGTTATTTTTGATCAGGACCTGTCATTTAAATCCCATATCAAATAGATTTCTAAGGTTTCCTTCTTTCATCTGCGGACTATTGCAAAAAATTAGAAATATCCTGTCCAGGGGTGATTTTGAGAAACTAGTCCATGCATTTGTTACTTTAGGATGACAGCAGCACAACTGATATTTCTCTCCAGAATGGAGTAACAGACAAACAGGAACAGACTGGATGAAGCTACTGTGAAAAAAAGCAGAGAGATTAGATTAGATTCTGCAGAATGGGAGAATAGAGATAGAATGATGAAATGGGGGTCCCTATGTCCTCCAGCAGTCTAAGCCTATAGCAGCATAACTATAGAGATAGCTCAGGATAACCTGAGCCACTCTAACTATAAGCTTTATCAAAAAGGAAAGTTTTAAGCCTAGCCTTAAAAGTAGACAGGTTGTCTGCCTCACGGACTAAAACTGGTAGTTGGTTCCACAGGAGAGGAGCCTGAAAACTAAAAGATCTGCCTCCCATTCTACTTTTAGAAATTCTAGGAACCACTAGTAAACCTGCAGATTGAGAGCGAAGTGCTCTGTTAGGAACATAAGGAACAATCAGATCTCTGATATCAGATGGAGCTTGGCCATTTAAGGCTTTATATGTGAGAAGGAGGATTTTAAATTCTATTCTGGATTTAAAAGGAAGCCAATGAAGAGAAGCCAGGATAGGAGAGATATGATCTCTATTTTTAATTCTCATCATAACTCTGGCTTTTTGGATCAGCTGAAGGCTTCTAACTACAGTTTGTGGACTTCCTGATATTAAAGAATTTCAGTAGTCCAGCCTTGAAGTAACAAATGCAAGTCTGAGGTTTCATCCAGAGTTTCAAATGGGCTTTCATGATGTTTTGCAGTATTTATTTTGGAAATTTTTTTTTGGCAAGGCTAAATATTTTTCATTTTTTAATCACCTATAAATCAGAATTGGTGACATTTAATATAGTGGTTCTACATGAAAGATATTCCTCAATGCCATTCTGTCACATATTTCCAATTTATAGTTTGGGAGCGGTACTTGCTTTTTACATATGTAAGAACCACATGTGTAATTTCAGGCAGAATTTGCTCCTAATACCCTCAGGGCTTAAAAGAGACAAGTGTTTGGACTGTATTAAAATAAACGTGCAAACAAAAGTGAAAGAGACAACATCTACACCTTAAGGCTCTGATTTGCTTCTAAAATTGAATGCAAATCCTATCAGAGGATGTGAAGCCACAATAGAGTGGGAAGCAAAAGCACCTTTTAAATCCAGCTCGGTTTAGACGTGTCCTCTTTTAGTCCTGCTTGCCTGAGTAATTTGTTAAATGTTTGAATCTGGCAAAGAAATTTAATCAAATCACCTGATCTCAGAGGTCGCTTCTGTGTTAGTTGGGATTTTGCTAAAATCTGGCATCTTAATGAATCCAACTTCCTCCTTCAAGCTGTTTGACTGCAGTTAATGATCAGAATTACTTCAAACAATCTTTTATATCAAAGTTTCTTTATAAATGCTCCCACAAATGAACTTGCATCAGAATTAATTTCTTTAGCTGAAATTTTAACCAAGGGTTTAATCCAGTTTAAATCCTATAAATATGAAACCGTGAAATCACTAATTTTCCTGACATGCCTTTTACTGTTCAGAAATTTTAATAAGCTGTGCTTAATAACTGTTTGATGATACTTTTCCACTTACTGTGAGAGATTGTCATGTCTTCGCTCATGCACACATAATTAGAGGGAGATCATGAGTTCCAGCTGAAGTTTTCAGAAAGGAATTATTTTAAGAAACTCTTAGAGTTTTCTCTGCTAAATCGTCTAGTTTGCAAACATCAGATTCATCAAGTGAGTGAAGGTGTTAGATCACGTTCATCTTCTGCAGGGAGATAATATACCGCCTCAACCAGTGGGAAATAGTTTATGACCTGGTTACCAGTCTGCTGTTGGATAGGAAAACAAGCAGCTCATAACTTTTCCTCTATAAGGGGGGAAAAGTTAGGAAGATACCAAGGGCCCTTGACCTGGGGGGCCAAAAAAAAAGAAGAAAAGATATGTCCAACTAGAAATGTGAAATGTAAAAAGAAAATCCCGCAGTAAAATAAATGATCCTTGTGTTCTCCCTGATCTTTCAGCATTAAACAGCGAAACAAAGCATGAATATGTTTCAATATATTTACCAACCCACCAAATATTCAAAATTAAGAACATATTTTCCTTCCCTTCACATCAATTTTTTTTTGTTCATAATAATCTATTATTATTTTTAGGGAGGATGATTTTAAATGTAAAGTTTAATGTATTTATGTGTGAGGATAATTTTCCTTGATTGAAATTGTACCGTGGAATTTGCATTGTTAATGTAAAAGTAAATGATACTCTTTGGTGCATCCTTATAGCAGTTGTAAAGCTTGCATCAATTAATGTTTTATTTGGTGGGGGGAAGGGCTTTAGTCATATCAATGTCTTTCATGGGGGCCCGGCAGCCCTGCCTCTATAACAAACTCTTTTCCAACATTCGGTACGTTAACGTAGAGCATTAAGCTAGGGGGACCAGACGTCCTCCTTTTCCCGGACATGTCCTACTTTTCAGACCTAAAAAATGTTCGGGGGGAATTTTAAAATCGTCCGAGAGTGACTGCCTCAAACACATCACACAGCCTACAGTTCATTGTGATTAGATTGCCACTCCGTTCCACTGCTCCATTCCAGGTTTGCATGGTGGCACCAACTGCAGGTAAGTATAAGACACAACATTTGTGTTACTTCATACCCCCCAAAAAAACAAACAAAAAAACCCCCCAAAAACCTCCTTTTCACAAACCCAAATCTGGTAGCCCTAATTAAGCTGGATATGCTTCCTTACTTCAGACAGTTTTACGTTGGGGATCTATAGCTACCACATGATGGAGTATTGCAGGTTTGCAGCAGCGAGAAACTAATCATTGACCTTCTTTGTTTCTTATGCCTCAGGTGTGGTTTAAAAACCGACGTGCAAAGTGGAGAAAAAGGGAAAGGAACCAGCAGGCGGAGCTGTGTAAGAATGGCTTTGGCGCCCAGTTCAATGGACTCATGCAGCCGTACGATGAGATGTACCCAGGATATTCCTACAACAACTGGGCCACTAAGGGCTTAGCGAGCAGTCCACTCTCCGCCAAAAGCTTCCCCTTCTTCAACTCAATGAATGTAACCCCCCTGTCCTCCCAGCCTATGTTCTCGCCCCCGAGTTCCATCCCCTCCATGAACATGGCCTCCAGCATGGTGCCCTCAGCTGTAGGCGGGGTCCCTGCTGCAGGGCTAAACAACCTGGGGAACCTCAACAACCTCAACAGTCCTACGGCGCTCAACTCCGTAGCAGTGACTGCAGCCACATGCCCCTACGCCACTACAGCCGCTCCCTACATGTACAGAGACACTTGCAACTCCAGCTTGGCGAGCCTACGGCTCAAAGCCAAACAGCACACCAACTTTGCTTATCCAGCGGTACAGAATCCCGTGTCCAATCTGAGCCCTTGTCAGTATGCTGTGGACCGACCTGTATGAAGTCCAGCCATGACTCACCCAACGAGCTGTAAATTCACCGTTCATCCGGCTCTAATCCCTTCAACGCCATCTCTAAACGACTGGTCATACAGTTGATGTCTCGACTGTAAACCTTCAATCCAATCATCATCAACAACAAAAGATATCCCAGATGGACGAGTGTTTGGTCACCAGAATTACGCCCAGTTAGACTCAGTTGCTGAACCGAACAGCAGCTTTTAAGGGACTTTTTCCTTGTTTGAACTGCATGATGAGAAACGTAACAAAGCTACAGATGCTAACAACCTTTGGACTGGTTGTAGCATTATTAGCATCTCGGGCAAGAAACCTCCAATACAGCTCCTACAGAAAGGTGGACTCATGGGTTAAAGCAAGCAAATTAGACAGTGTACATAATATTTTTCCTGCTTTGTGTGAATATATATATATAAAACAAGCCCAAAATTGTTCATACGCCTGGCACGTTTGGATCTGAGGGAAACTGATCTGCTTTAATTCAAATAACAGCATTTTTAAAAATACATTGTATTAGGAGTAACATGTCAACAATAATCAGTCGTTATTTTCCTCAAAAATCCACCAAAAATGTTGATTGACATAACAGCGATCTAACATTCTCTCATGTTATTCTGGACATTTTGACAAGTTACCTTTGGTGGAGAGTTCCAGTCTTTAAAGGAAAAGTCCGGTCAGCAAGGAATGATCAATGGATCATTATTTATACCTAAAACTAATATGTTAGCAGAGATTTCATGAACGTTAATCAGTAACAAAATAAAAACAATAATTTTTTGCGATCACTGAGTCTGGGAGCGGCCATTTTTGCCCAAATATAGTAACCCCTCCCTCCTGCCATCTTCCAGCAGTGACGTCACGGTGCGGTAAGCCTAGCGCCATTCTCCCCGCTTTACAAGCAGAATCAATGGGAAC